TCCCATGTAAACTATCACATAATTCACAATGAAACATTAAAAATAAATAAAGACAAGTCAAAGACTGACAGAAAATAATTTCAAAATATATATCTCACAAAGGACTTTTATCTGGAATATAGATGGAATCTTTAGAACTTAATAAGACAAAATGAATAAAAACATGCAAAATATTTGAACAAAATAATTTACAGGAGTTACACAGATGACTGATAGGTAAATTAACGAATGTTCAAAATTATTAGTTTTTAGGGAAAGGAAAATTAAAACCACAATACTTATCTACTAAAACAGTAAAATTAAAGATTCTCCATACCAAATGTTGGTAAGAATTTATAACAACTGGAATGTTCACACATCACTGATCCAATATAAAATTTCAGTACAACCACTTTAGAAAACAGTTTAACAGTTTTTTCTAAAGTTAATCATATACATCCGCCATTCTGTTATACTCCGAAATATTTTACCAAGAGAAACAAAGCACATGTCCACATAAGGCTTAGATAACAATGTTCATGAGAGCAGCTTTATTTGTTATATCCCCAAAGTGGAAACAATCCAATGGTTTATGTGGTACATCGATACAACAGAGTAACTGTTGTATACTGTGCTATGAAAAATAGCTGTTGTTGTTGTTGTTAAGTGCTGCCAAGTCAGTTCTAACAGCAACCCTGTATAGGGTTTCCAAGGAGCAGCTAGCGGTTCAATCTAATCTAGCGTTCTAGTGCTTGTCCTACAGCACCAAAACAGGACTCCATGAAAAAGAGTAAACAATTGGTATATTCAGCAACATACATGAATCTCAAAATAATCATGGCTGGCAAAAGAATTCATATTGCATGATTTCATGTATATAAAATTATAGAAAATGCAAACAAATCTCTGTGGCAAAAAACAGATCATAATTGCATATGGACAGGTGAGGGAAGTGGTAGTGGAGGCAGGGAAGAAAGATTACTGAAGGGCATGAGATTTGGGGGAGTGCTGGATATGGCCATTATCTTTATTGTGGTGATGTCAACTTATGAAACTCTGTATTTTAAATATGTGGTTTGCTGTCTATATGTCAATTACATGTCAATAAAATTACCTGAAAAAATTTGTATATATAAAATCAAAACTATTTTACATCTATCTGTTAGCATATTTTAATAAACTTGTAAAATGCTTTCAAAGAACTTCGGATGACATGAGGAAAAGCTTATGATACATAATTAAGTGAAGTTGGTCAAATACATTACTTTATACAGGCTGATTTCAGTCACATAAAAAGCTTACATACAGAGTCAGAAGATTTTTTTTATTGGCAATATCTATATAAATAATTGTTTTCTCTATGTTATGGAATCACTGGTGATTTAAATTTTCATCAAGCTTTTCTCTATTTTCTAAGGTTTTCTTTTTTGTGGCAGTATCTTGTTTTATTATCATTTTTGTTTAGCCTAAGCTTATACCTTTATAAAATCCACTTTATGAGCCAATACTGACTCATAAAGACCTTATACAGGATTTTCAAGACTACAGACCATTAGAGGAGCAGACAGCCCCATATTTCTCCTGAAGATAGGTTTGAACTGTCAACTTTACATTTAGCAACCCAACAACTCACCCCCAGTGCCACCAGGGCTCCTTAGATTACCTTTACAAGCAGGAAATGTTTTATTAGAAAGTGAAGAGAAAGAAGCTTGAGTGCTTCTCTTCCTAGTAATTCTACAGTGCCAACAAAGACCCCTAAAAGGGCTGAACTGCTACATGCCATAGAGCCAGTTCTGACTCATAGAGACCCTGGCTAGGGTCCCAGGCTATAAATCTTTGCAGGAGCACAAAGCCTCATTTTTCTTCCTCAGAGCGGCCGGTGGATTCAAAGTGCCAACTGTATGTAACCCACTACACTATCAGGACTCCTTAAAACATCAAGTAAGAACCGAGAATTCATATATGGAACAAGTATTATACATTAAGTTAGTAATATATTTTATATACATATGAGTTATTACATTTCAGATATTCATAGATACACTGAAATTCTACCTTACTTAATCTGTAGACACTCTATTTATCATTATCAATAAATACTAAAAGTAAAACTACCCACATGAAGATCTTTCAAAACTTATCCCCTAATATTTATCGTTGTTAACTGCTGCTGAGTCGGTTTTGACTCACAACAATCATGTCAAGGATTTCCAAGGAGTAGCTGGTGGGTTTGAACCAGCAACCCTGCGGTCCAGTGCATTATACTGCACTGGTTTAATTGGTACTTCTTCTGCTACAAAACCAGTGTGTAGGAAGGGTAAGCACAGTACTTGGCGTTCAATTAATAGAAATGCCAATACATGTTCCTATTTCTCTGCTTTTCATTATATTCTAAGCTACCCCTTACCAGCAAACCTGCACTTTGAGCTTTCTTACAGTTCATATCTCAAATAAGACTTAAATTTATAAAGGTAAGTTAAATAATCAAATACTAAATTCAAATATACTCTATATCCAGAAGGGCGTTGAAAAGCTATTTCAGTTAAACATTGAGGCTTTTTGCAAATGTCAGATTAAGATAGCTATAAATTTGATTCCTAGTTAAATGTGGCATTACTAGTCTGTAACTGATCTTGAAGAAATCATTTAATATATGCTGAGGTTTCTATACCTGCTTCGTAGTAATCATGTCAGAAATTAAAGTTGACAAATAATTTAATTGTCATTGTAAAGCACTCTATGGGGGAAAAAAGCAGAGCTATGAAATGATTAGTGATTTAAAGGTAACTTTGTTTACCTCAAAGAATTATTCTCTGCTTTTTGTCTGCCAAGTTCACTTTCAGTATCCATTGCCTTTCTTGCTAGGGATTTCATTTCTTTTTCCACAGTGGTTATGGTGTCCTTCATCAAAGTCATATTTGACATTTGCTCCATACGTTCATCATCAAGCTATACAAGTAAAATGACAAAATTACTGCCATCACTGAAAAAGTCAAAGATGAGCTTTCAAAAGATATTTACTCAATGTGTACAAACAATGATTTATGGCAAGATTTATGTGAAGGGAAGCACAGGTATGTCCTGACTACTGTGGGTGGTTTTATGGCCATGGATTGGGTACTACCAAGAAGAATATGCTACTGAATAGCTTTTCTAATGACCTGCCTTGTATATCAGTCTACAGTTGACTACAACATACACATTCTAGTCACAAAAGGACGTCTTTGTTACCCAACACTAATAAATTACATTTATAAAATAAGATTGTTATTTTTCTCCTCTCTACTGAAGTTTTTAAACTTACAACATACTACAGACAAATTTATTAAAATATTTAATCAAATTAGGTAACAGAAAGTAAAATTCCCTTAATTCTGTATATATATTTATAATAACACAAATAAATATTCATAGCATCTCAAATCCCTGATTAGTAAAAGGCAATAATTCATATTTATATTTTTTATTAATTTTTGTCAAATCTATTTTTTTTGTTAATTTTTATTTCATCATAATTTCTCTGCTCTACCCTTTCCTTTGTTAAAACATGCCATTTTCTCCATACCTGACAATATTATCTTTAATGAAATAGTGAGATGAGAAATTTGTTAAAATCTCTGAGACTGAATTCTTTTTTTAAAAAACAAAGAACACATTTTTTTAAACTAACATAAAAGAAGACTTTACCTCACATTTTTAGAAGGAAACAGTTGAAAAAGTGACATATTTCACTGTATATATCACCTTATATATTTTAGGACTACAAATACTATACAATATTTCATCTTAGAAAAAAATGAAAGAACTCCTATAAACACAAGGGGAGGGTTTACAGCCATGAACAGTTTATAACCCAAAGCCCAAAACGGATTGTTCTTTACATTATGCACTGTGCACTCCAGCTCCTCTATCCTTTGTTCCAAATGAGCCTTCTCATTAAACGCTGTCTCTTGAGCAATCTGTTTAAAAAACAAAAACAACGAAAGGGTTTTTAACTGCACTGTAGCCATGTCTCACATAGGTTCATACAGATAAACTATCTCTCAAACCTTTAGCCTTTCTCTCAGACTATCTCGTTCTGTGGTCATTCTTCGTAAATCAGTGAAGGCTACATCTCTTTCTGTCTCCACCCGCCGGAGGATAGCATGCGCAGTTGTTGATTTAGGAGACTTACAGCTTTTCATCATTTCTCGTCGGAGCCGAGCAATTTCTTCCTGTGCCTATAAATTAAATACAAAGGTTTATCCAGATTTAAATGAGACATATAGTTATCTTATATCCAACCAATTAAAATGCACACTTGTGTTAATATGCATGCATCAGGCAAGTAGTGTTGTTTTTATTTTAACAAACAAGTTTATATATATAACGACAAATGACTCTACACAAACACAAAGCCTTCATAAGGGATCCCAGATCCAGGAGTGTTTTCTAAAATTTCCTTGACTTAAGCACACTTCCCTCTCACTTCCACTGGCTGGCTCCTCCTAGAGGGCATCTGTACTTGAGAAACTGTTACTTAGTTCTGCCGCCCCATTTCCATCTTATGTTTCTTCATAGACAGCTTTTTCATTCAGAGACCTCATCCACTCTAAAATCTCAAAACTCACTCCTAAGCAATGACTTCCAAATCTACAGCTTCAGTTCTTGCCTTTCACCTCACTCTAGCCTCACGTTTCTTAATGCCTAATGCCCATTATAGCCCAAATGTGCCAGCATGATCTTGCTGTGCCTGAAAGCAGACTAACATCCTTCCCCTGCTATTTCTTCTTTGACTACCACAATTATCTCAGTAAGGTGAGACACAGCTTCCACTATAACCATGCCCCCATTTCCTCTTATAATTAGATCCTGCCAAGTTTTCCTTCTTCTGCATCTGTTCATATCTTTAATGCCACCGATAACTAGTTTAGTCCCTTAAAAACTTATGTGTGGATTCTAACAGCCTCCTAAAATGCGTCACTGTCCATAGTCTGTCTTCCCTACAATCTCTCCTAAAGTGAGATTAAGTGATATAAGAAGAAAACATACAGAGATTATGTAAGAAATATTAGACTGATACAAGGTTAGTAAGTGGGGGATTTCAAAAAGTTTAAGGAAAAATTCCATTATCTTTTCACTCTATTTTTCCATGAACTTTTTGAAGCTCCCTCACGTTATAAAAACATACTGTTCTTGCTTTAAAAAAATAGATTGCCTATTATTTATAGGGCAAAGTATGATTTTATGGTTAAGTGCCATTAAGTCAGTTCTGACTCATAGCAACCCTGAATTAGGGTTTTGGAGGATGTAAGTATTTGCGAGAGCAGAAAGCCTCATCTTCTTCCCATGGAGTGGCTGGTGGGCTTGAACTGCCACCTTGTGGTTTGCAGGTCAGTGCTAATCCTAAAGAGCCACTGTGTTCCCTAGAGCAAAGTACAGACCTGCTATTTTGCTGTTGTTGTTAGGTGCCATTGACTCAGTACCAACCCATAGTGATCTTATGCACAACAGAAAGAAACACTGCCCA